CGCCCTACCGTTTGTGAGTTATCTTTCATTATTAAATGTAAGTACATCCTGTGTATATGCTGAGTCGTCGGGTTACTTTTTTCTCTTCCTCTTTTCCCTTCCAGATTCTCGTGTCCACCACTAAACTCACACTGCTCTACCCGCCCTTATAACAGTTTACTTACTTGCCTACCTACCGACAGGCTAGACGAAAATGTATCAACAGATGGTCGTTACACTACCTCTTCGATTCTAACTCCCCATCCAGCAGTGAAAGCGAAAGACTTCATTATTAAGATTCAATAATACTTATTATTAGAAAATTTTCAGACATCTATTCTCAGCTCTTCATGTTCCAGATATCAGTTTAACTGTTCCTGTGGAACAATTTACATAACCTATACGATTGAGCAGGTGTTTGTTCGGATACCAGAACATTTACCGGTCTAATGATGGATGGCGGTTAGCAATGGAATCCAGAAGGTGAGTTTCGCCCTATTCCGGACTAGTTAGCTGGTTGCACCTGAGTCCCAGTGAGTGATATGGCCCCCACCAAAACTCGAATTGGGGAACGGTAGCTTTAAACGAGAGTGTTATCCATTAAGCTACAAAGTTATGACAGCCACTTCATGTGTGATGGGTATAGTTTTAATGCTGTTACTTGAAGCAATCGATCCCCAGTTAGAGTCCCAGTGTGAACAACGCCACTCACTGGGGTCCAAGTACATCCGGCTGATGAACCAGAAATAGAATGAAACGCGCGTCGTGGATTCCTCTGTTGACCATAACCAAGCAAACTACAATAAATAATCTGCTTTCACAACAACAAAAAACAGTCAATATTTGTTCTTGCATCTAAATGAAAGACTAGCAGATAAGGAATCAATGACACAATATAATGTATACGAATTCTGTCTGTTGAATCGAGACGTAGTTAGCAGATAAATCTTATATCACATTCAGTAGGTCTCTTAAATAGTGAGTTGAAGATCATTATTATTATTATTATTATTAGTCCCTTGTGTTCCCAGTGGAACATAGGGCTTCATTAGCACGTCTCCAGTGAACTCTGTTCTCTGAAATCTTTTGAACCTGGCTCCACGACAGCCCACAAGCTCTCATTTCCTCCTCACACGATCTCCTCCATGTCATCCTCAACTCGGACACCCAACTCGTCGCTTCCCATGGGGATTCCACTCAACTGCCTGGCCTGACGCGTGATGTCCTCAGTCGGCCTTCTCAGTGCATGGCCAATCCATCTCCACTTCCTCCTGCATATTTGTTGGATGACAGCTTCTTGGTTGGTTCGTTCCCAGAGCTCCTTGTTGCTTATTCTTATTATTATGGCCATCTGATCTTCAGTAGCGAGCCAATGTAGGCAGTTGTTGATGAATGTCTGTAGTTTATTGGAAATACCTTTCGTGACGCGCCAAGTCTCTGAGCCATACAAGAGCACTGACTTGACGTTGGTGTTGAAAATCCGTATCTTGTTCCGCATGCTGAGTGAGTGCAGAAGATCTCCACACTGGTTTCAGGCTAATGAATGCCTGTCTTGCTTTTCCGATTCTGACTTTGACGTCCTCGTCCGTCCCGCCTGTAGTTGAAACAGTGCTTCCTAGATAAGTGAAGGAGGTTACTTCCTTTAAGTTTCTCCCGTTGACAGTGATTGGAGTTTGTTGTTGTTGTTGTTGATGGTGGTGGTGCGGTATCTTCATCACTTCTGTCTTCTCTATATTCACTTGAAGTCCCGTCTTCGCTGCCTCTTCTATCAACTTGTTAGTTTTTGCCTGCAGATCTTCAAGTTTATGTGACATTAGGCATAAGTCATCGGCGAAATCCAAGTCTTCTAGGTTCTTTTCCGTCGTCCAGCGTATCCCCCTCTTCTCGCTGCCTACTGTTTGCTGCATGATCCAGTCCACCACAATCAGGAATATCATGGGTGATAGTAGGCAACCTTGTTTCACTCCTGTCTTCACTTCAAAGGCATCACTGAGCTTTCCATTGTGGATTACTTGGCATGTGGCATCTTCATATAGTTGTTGAATGAGGCGGATAAAGGTTTGCGGTACTCCGTAGTATTGAAGCAGCTTCCAAATTACTTCTCGGTCGACGCTGTCAAAGGCCTTCTCAAAGTCGATGAAGTTGAGGTAGAGAGCTGATTGCCATTCTATGCTCTGTTCTATGATGATGCGTAGAGCGTTGCAATTTGGTCTGCACATGATTTGTACTTCCTGAAGCCTGCCTGTTCCGGTCGTAGTTTTGAATCCAGTGCATCCCTTAGCCTCTCCAGGATGATGCGGCTTAATATTTTACTTGCTTGGGTGGACAGGAGAGTGATTCCGCGCCAGTTCTTGCAAGCACTGAGGTCTCCCTTCTTCGGCAGTTTGACAAGGTAACCCTTCTTCCAATCGTCAGGTACCTTCTCTTCCTTCCACACCTTCTGCAATAGTGGTGTGAGCATGGCCGCTGTTGTCTCTGCATCTGTTTTCAGTGCTTCTGGCGGTATTCCATCTGGTCCTGCTGCTTTCCCGCATTTCAGTAGCTTTATGGCGTTCAGGACTTCCATTTTCGTTGGGGGATTAATGTTCACTTGTAGTTCAGCGGCTGCAGGTGGTATTTGTGGACGAAGTGCAGGTGGTGGTCGATTCAAGAGCTTCTTGAAGTGGTCGGCCCATCGTTTCCTCTGTTTCTCTTCTTTTGTAATTAAATTTCCTTCTTCATCTTTTATTGGTTTCATCTGTGTTGGTCTATTCCCTGATAGCAACCTGGTTATTTGATACAATGTCGTCAGGTCTCTCTTACCTGCAGCCTGTTCTGCTTCACTTGCCAGTGTTTCGTAGAAGTGTCTTTTGTCTTTGCGTGCACTCTTCTTCACTTCTTTGTCCAGTGTTTTATACATTGTGCTCAGTTCCTCTTGTCGTTGAGCATCCTTGCACTGCACTGGTTTATCTTCTGCTTCACCATCCTCCTCTCCTCTATCAGCTTCCAGGTATCTGTCGAGATCCATTCCTTGTCTTCTTTCTTCTTCCTTCCTAATACTGTTGTGCAGGTTTCTTTCCACATAGCTTTCAAAGACTTCCAGTGTTCTTCCACACAGGTTTCTTCAGGGATGTTGCTCGATGTCTCCCATTTTGTCTTGATGGCTGCCTTGAAGATCTCCTTTGTAGTTTCATCCTTCAGTTTCCGAGTGTTGTACTTGGGTTGAGGTCTATCACCAGCTTCCTTGAAGGCTTTTAACTTGATTTGGAAGGTTCCTTGCACTAGGTAGTGGTCTGAACCTACATCTGCTCCTCTTCTTGACCTTGTGTTAAGTAGACTGCGTCTCCATTTTCTTGAGATTGAGATAAAGTCGATTTGATTTTTAGTGTGTCCATCTGGTGAAATCCATGTCGCTTTGTGGATATCTTTGTGCCTGAACACACTGCCTCCAATCACCAAATCGTTGAATGCGCAGAATTCTGCAAACAATTCTCCATTCTCATTCATTTCACCTAGTGCCTCTCGACCCATGGTTAGTTCTCTTCCCGTGTTGTCCCCTCCCAGTTTGGCATTCATGTCGCCCATCAGAATTTTGATATCGCCAACTGACGTCTTGTCCAGTGTTGATTGAAGTTGTCTGTAGAAATCCTCCTTTTTCTCTTGCTCTGCATTATTTGTAGGTGCATAACATTGTATGATTGTGACCTTTCTTCCTTTTGAGTTGAATCTTGCTGTCATGATCATGGAGGAGATTGGTTCCCACTGCATGAGAGCCTTCGATGCTCTTGAGGACATCATGATAGCCACTCCCTCAGTGTGCTCGTGGTTGGCGTCTGGGTGACCGGAGTAGATTATTGATTCTCCAGTTGACAGTTTGGAGAGTCCACTCCCATTCCATCTGCTTTCGCAAATCCCAAGCACTTCGATGTTATACCTTCTCATCTCCCTTGCAATCTGGGCTGCCTTACTGGGTTCAAACATCGTGCGGACATTCCATGTCCCCACGTTTACTTTCGCTTTCATCGAGAGAAGACACATCGGCCAATTGGCTTCCCGGAGGCAGGCTTTCACCAACTGGCGTCATTTCGCCTCTCCGATTCCAGCGGGGAATAAGTTTGTTTTCATTTTTTATATTTTGTTTGTGCTTTGAAGTTTCTTTAGCGGTTAGATTTGTTTCCCGGTGTAGGGTTGCTAGCCCTATGCCCAACCTTCCCTCTTTACCCGGGCTTAGAACCGGCTAGTAACTAGTAAACTAGTTAACCAGGCGAGGTTTGAAGATCATTAGTTTAGGTTTATGCATCATTAAGGTATCCTATCAACTTAAATAGTCGTAGATGAATACAACCCAAATAACCGCGTGAAAAGTTGGTGAACCATTTATTACAATGAGTTGAAGTCAAGCAGTTCCCTACTTCAGTTTGGAATATGTTTAGTAATTAAACTGAGCACTTGGTAATATCGACACTTCTTATCTCATAAATAATCTATGTATTTCAATCGGTTAATGGGTAATCAGATGATACAACTCATACTTTAAGCTTCCTGTATATGCATTGAATTCGTACAGAAGATTTCTTCCACTTGCTAACATACAGATTAGTCAATCGTTACGTCTCGATTCTGTATCTCAAGAAGCAAATATCTGACGATATAACGTAGTTTGGTATTTATAGAAGACTTTTAGGTTACTCTTCAGTCAAAAAGTGATGCATTAAATCTATTTTCGTTTATCTTGAAACGCATCTTCAGAAGTGTTTGATGTACTTAGAATACCGCGTTCAATCGCTGAATTATTTAGATGTCTGCGGAATCGTCGATGAAAGTTAAACCTACTACAATAAAATTCAATCTACTCGCATTATGCTTTCATAAACACACGCAAACATACACTGGTCACGTGACGAACATATTTTTGCACGTAATCAAGTTATAAAAGTTCAATGCTGATTGGTTCATTCCTAGCTGCAAATTCTACAAATGACCTAGAATAAAAATCAATAGTCCAACGTGTTTTTGTTGATATTCTATATAAAAATTGACTAAAAGTAGTCAGCGTGACACTCCGAAATGGATATTCTGAATAGAGTAAGTTATTTTGCTGAATGTTAAAAAATGTATTAATCATGTTATTATCGTCGCCAAAAAATAAGATACCAAAACTTTCGATAACATTCTGTTGCATTGTCTAAAATTTCTCGGACGTCCATTTTAAAAGAAAGTTGATGAAATGATGAGATACTTAACTCTACTTTGAAGCTATGCTCATCATTGATTGAATCCAACAATTGAATTCATCGAACTGAAGTCGTCAGTCAAACAGGTCATCTATAAAGCTATCAGCTTGTAACCATTGGTTAACTTCAGCTAATTTCGTCAGTTATTCTTTAAAAGAAGGCATTGAATGTTTCATTGATTTCCATACTTTTCTTAGCCAAGGTGTTCTGGTGGTAACAATTATTTATAATCGAAATCGGAATCCTCATGAACACCTAATAGCGTTTGAGGTAATATAGGTGATTATTTGATTAAATACTCTATTGATTAGATGCAGCTTGCAGTTATGAATTACGTGGTTTCCTACATTCCTATACCCTTGCGTCGTAACACTGCATTTTTCAAATATTGATTGGATCCAAAATGAGATAAATTAGATAAATTTCTTCTATTTGGCGAAAGGTTTGTGAAGTCAGACATCTAAAGTCTTTCCATTCAATCTGAGATATATGTAATTTGATTATTTTCTCAATCTGTTTCACGAAGTAACTCGATACTGACCGATAAATTTAGGCGTAAGCTGATTGATTTTCACTCACGAGTAAGATTTCAAGCAAGGAGTTTTATGAAACTGGACCATTTTGAATATCCCATAGCCAACATTCTTCTCCAAACAGAAACCATTGAATGAATAGTTCCACTTAACCTTTTCAAGTGTGGAGCAAAGGCTGATCATTATTAATTATATCATGAAACTAAGTATTTGAAACATGACTGATATCAGAAGTTATTCCACTCCCGGTAGATGCATATCTTTCAATCGATCAGTATCAACATTGGGATTGGTATTATTGCATAACGGTCCAAGTTGCAACACCTCATACCAACACATCAAAAGAAAATGCGCCACTATGAAAGACAAAGAAATAAGAAAGAAAGTTGTAGTAAAAACTGGTAGAAACTCCCAAAAAGGGGACAAGGAGAAATAAAATAATGATGAAATTTGGTATGACGACTAGGATGAAGATAGTGTGTGGATGTATCTGCACCACAGACATAGATATTGAGCCATATCACCTAGAGTCTCTGACCACTGGTCTCTGTTATCAGGTGGACCCCAATCAGAAGTCTCTGGTTTCCTACATACCTAAAACCAACAGTCGAAGACTTCATGCACTCATGCCATGCCTTAGTCTGGTCACCCAAGACAGTCTTCCAGCTGGAACCTACTTCAGCTAACATTGTGCGACGGAAAAGACGGTGACTAGGGACGCGTAACACATGTCTTAGACACCTAAGTCAGTGAAAGTTCAAAACCTCATCGACTGACCTTCCTTTTCTGCTCAAAACCACAAATCTAACTTATGTTACTGACGTTGTGGCACAGCGATACACGGTCTAGACTTCGAGGGCAATAGTGGTCAAACACCTGAAGCCTTCTCATATCCACTACCTATGATGGCTAAATTTCACGGCTATACAGTAGAAGAGGGTGAACTTCAGTGCAGTACACTCAATCCTTAATAATCAGTCGAATTTTATGTCAGCACAATAAATGACGTGAGTTGGCGGAAGTCAGTCTAGCCTTTTGTATCCGCCGTGCAGAGATTTTGTAGATCGATAATCCACCAGGGCTGATACGACTTCCCAAGTAAGTGAAGTGTTCAACACACCCAACCTCTTAATTTTCTGTTGCTAAGCAAGGTACCAGAAAAGATAAGTCCTGCAGCAACAACTTGCACTTGGGCAGTGAGGAACGCATCCCACGCATTCTCACACTACCACTCAAGGTATCCAGAAGACTGCCTTTTGTCAAGGTCTTCACCTAGCAGGATTGTCATCTGGATACTCTAGACCTACAAAGAATTCTCTGATTAGACCAATTCCCGTAAAGTCAGACGGCAAAAGAGAGACACCTTCAGAAATACTTCCATGATAAGGCTGTATATGAATGGATAGAATGAACATCCTTGACAAGCGCCACTCGTGTTACATAACTCACCAGACAACTCATTATCATGCCTGTTCGAGTACAGACACTTCTCACTATTTCATTGTTTCGGATAGTGAGCAACTAAAGAGTGCCTGAAGGCCAGTCGAACTGTGTTCCAAAATGTTCCACCCATCGTTACAGACGTCTTTTCTGCGAATAAATGCCAGACTCATCCTTCTCTGTTGTGGTCTAACCAACCATTAAAACGTTTACTCCAGTTTTCATAATCACTTTAAATAACTGTGACCTAACGCCGTTGCCTTTTCCATCTTGAACCTTCGTTGCCTACCATTGTTCGTGGCTATGGTTAAGCCTTTTGATAGTCTGCGTTTAAGTTTCATTCGCTCCTCATTGTACTGGGATCCTGCAGGGATGCATTCGTGTGTATCCATCATTTAAAAGAAGATGCTGAGATCCACTGGTTCTTTTAAACCACCCTCTGAGAATCGAGTGTAGTCTTCAAAGCTATTCCTACTATAGGCTGGAAGTGGCACCAGGCTTCTTCTGGATGAGTGATGTTATTCTGCTTCGATAACTGTCTAGCCACTTTTCCACTGAAACCAGCCTTAGTATTCCTATCGTCACACAGCACTTGCAATGATCTTGCTGCTATTGTTTTACTACTTCCATTTATGCTCAGACACACCCTAACGTTTGTCGGCTTGCGGTCACTTTTCATTTTCTGCAGAGGCAGCGGTAATTTTCTACCAGCCCTCTATAATGATAACGGATGGTAATGTGGTCTGTCTGCGCTCATCTCAGAGTTGAGGTCGGTGGACGCCATGTCAGACAATCTCTATCTTTATGTTTGAAGTTAGTGCTCCCCAGAAATAGATAGTTGTCTGAGTTCACTTGCAGCAAGTGATCTCCGTTCGTTCGGCTGAGATTTTGAAAGTGTTACCTAAGTGCCTTTGTACCTGACTTACCCTACCCACTTGTGTATTAAAATCATATGTAATGACAACCACGTCTAAACGTCTGGCTTTCTGTAAGAGGCTAAACAATTTCCGGTAGAACTCACCCTTCACTAGATTCGAGCTAAGTTCGGTGGGCGCGCAAGCAGAGATTACAAAGAGACAAACGTAAGTTTCAATATTCTTTTTAGTCCTCACTGTCGCATTCAGTTGAACAGTGCATAGGCGAATGTCGAATGGGATCCAGTCGAACAATGTACCTAACCCAGGATTCAATGTTGTACCTAAATCTGCAAGATCACATGAACCAGTCTTCGTATCTCCGAAATCTTGAAGGGTGAATTTCGTAGATTCACCACACGGGCCAAGTGAGATTAAGTGAAAAACCACACTTGAGTCTTGTATATGTTTGTTGTAAACACAGCTCACATCCATGGCCTGAAATGCTAGGGTTTCGGCTAGTGAAGCTTATCGGCCGATTCGATGCAAGGTACAGACATTAGAAGCTCTAATGTTTAGTTTAGAACTTGGTATCCAGAGACCAGTGATACTGTTCCATGAACTGGAATCGTTGTCAATAACTTCAGAGCTGAAATACATTAAAGAAAGTGTAGGAATATTGACTGAGAGACGTGAAGGAATAGTAAAACGTTGGTAATCGTCTGTTGTGATAAAAACGCACTGCTGTGCATGCTTTCTGTGCGTAGTTAAGGTTGGTCACCGTCTGATTTAAATTTTTATGCATTTGCCGTAATGTTCTGTAGATAATATTGAGTTTGTCGTCCTGGATCATAGCGTTTTTTGATCTGCATAACATGGAGTTGAAGTTTTTGTTAGTCTAAGAACTGCAGAAATTCCAACAAACATGTCGCAAACGCTTTTCATATACGAAAACACAACTAGCTTCTCTTTGTCCGTTGACATGTTCGTGGTTGACGTTGAAGATGTCCGGACAGTGGTTTTCCTAATAGACAGTTACAAAATGGTTTCATTCTCTTCTCTGTAAATTTGGTGCATTGCTGTTTGTCTTTAGTTTGTTAAACAACGTTTACTGAGAACATATTTCGCGCATTCTTGCAGATGTTTAGAGTTTGATGAATATGAGTTTCTTATCCACATGAGTTTTCGATTTTTCCGGACTGATCTCGATGATTAAAACATCTTTAAATAGTTACTTGTTTGCTTCCCTTTCAACTCTAAATCTGATTTTGTTGAAGTGTTTTCCGTTGAATTTTCTTTAATGAGGGCCAATATATCATCAATATATTCTCAATCTAATCGCAAGCTGACAGCTCCCAATACTTGCATTATTGTTTCTCCAATCAAACCGAAGTTAGATGATTCATTTGGTACTCCTTTTGTTTGTTGGTATAGAGCTGATGATGTTGTCTAGAATATCAATTAAAGCTTCTCAATGAAGTCACCCAACCCGGTGAACAGAGAATCGGTAATATTATCCTGTTTAGTAACAAATAGTCTCCACTATCTCCACATTTTATGATGACAGTCTTATGAGAAAATTGGCATGAAACATTCAGCTGCACTTTAAATTCTTGAATTATCAATACCTTAGATGTATAGCGATTCCAAATTAGTTCTTGTTTTAGAGTTTTTAGTTAGAATTCGTTCTAACTTCCAGGAGTTTTCAACACTATCCGAGGATGATAAATTTACAAGATGTTAGAAAGCGTAGGTTTCGTTGAATTCATACTCTTCCAACGTCAATCAATACAGTTAGTGGGAGTTTTGATGGGAACCAGTCATCAAAATTGGGATCCTGAGCGATTGATGAATGATCTCCGGAAATGTGAAGTATTTTTGAACAAAAATAACTTTCAATTTTTAGGTTTCATATTGTTAAAATGATAAACAATTAGCCAAGTTAGTGTTCTTACTGAAGACCTGTAATGACGAAGCTTCAACTCCAGCTTATATATATTATCAGATAACTGATTTTAGTGGTAAAAACCTGTACAACAAATTATTTTACACTATCTGAAAAAATGGATGATAAAAAAATGTGAAAAGTTGATACCACGACACTGAAAACTGATTTCTGCAGAAAAAGAAAAAGGAGAGCACTTAACTCATCATATTCCGTAGCTTTCTCTTTGTTTATATAGGAGTTGCGTATGAAGAGAACTATTCTTCGTTCGCTTTAATACCTGACATATATTAGCTTGTATGTAAATAGAAAGATATTCATGATTATAATTAATTTGCGAGGATTCGTTTCCGATAAATTCAGAGAAGATAAAATATTGAGATAGAATAGGCTTGAAGGAAGACTTGAAAGAAAGTAGTTCATAATTCTAACTACCACGACTTCAGAACAAGTTCTTCTAAACCATTAATATATGTATCACCAGAATATAACACTTCATGCAAACTATTGTTGTAAATGATGAATTTGCCCATACAAAAAACTACGTAAAACAGTACATATATCCAAAAGTATGGGATAGCGATAAGTAGGGAAGGTGCTACTACAGTTACCCAGAAACAAATAATTATTACCTTGGACCACGAGCAACATGATCTTTCTCAGAAGAAAAAAGAAACGTTCAGGTGAACCTGAAAACCACCCTTCGAATCCCTGTAACTAATTCAGAGCCAAAATGCTCCTCAAGCTGCACATAACTATCAATCAATATATTTGATGACATCACACAATCTCTTATGCTATCCAAGCAAAGTAGAGCGGACACTTCTCAGTAAACGCTGAAGAGATTACACATGATACAGGGGTCCTACAATATGTAGACACTTTTACACATGAAAGTAATTATAAACAAAGAGAATGCATATGGTCCTATGGTCACCTGGACATACACCAAAATTCACTCCTCCACCGTTGACAGTGTTAAATGTGGGACACTAGAAAATGCATGCAACTCAGTCACATAGTTGAAAAGATTCACCAACTGATACAGCTTAAACCTGTGTTGCGCATGCTGAGCTACCGCCTCCCTCCATACACAACGTTAACTGAAGTACGATTAGGTTAGAAGAAAACATGACCTGACCACACCATGATGCCCTACCAGTTCAAGGAGATTCCCACTGTTACCCGAAGCCACCTCTAGAGTCAAAACATACATAACTACACTTCTCGAGACAATACACATCAGTGATTGCAAACTATTTGTGGTAAGCCTCAAAATCGGTTAGTGCAAGTGTGTCCACAATTTCTCTCTCACCCTTCAAGTCTTGAACATATTCACTAAACATCATATTTTATTCTATCATCTACCACAACCTTCATTTCTACCTTCACTATTCCTATCCAGTTCCCACTCGCTTATCTCTGCGAAGTATGGTAACTTGAACTGCTGCACGTTTACGCCATATCCCACCTTGATTCTCCCGTCTATCTGTCTGTCTGTCCGTCTATCTATCTATCTATCCATCGATCTCTTTGACCCTGTATTGATGCCCGCAGTCAGGTCTGTAGCCAGCACACACAACTTCAACCATCGAAGCATTATCCTCCACGATTCTCAGTTAGAACAGCTACTTCTTATTCAGAATAAAATTATATCTTGCAATTTCCCACTGTCAATTGACTAGAAAAGGGTGATCGTGAACTACTGATATATCGGCTGGCATCTTGAAACTGTCATTATTTCAGATTTCACCACTAACAATCAGTGATGATTAGCAACAGAATTCACGATGCACTCTTCGCATAACAGTGTGAATTGGACAGATGGCTTAACACTGAAAATCACATTCAATAATCTTACTATGAAAGCCTAATAAGTGTTACAAAAACGAATCACCCTTATCCTCTCCAAATATGAATTAACATTTAGGTGGAAGGAGATCCTCATTAGGAAACACACTGATACTTGAGTATTTGATAGTGCGTGATGATTGAAAGTGGGGTGTGGACCTGGGTAGTAGCACGTCTCGATTCAGTGACCTGTGGGTTCCCTTTTCAGCATTCTACCAACTAAGCTACACGACCTAACTGCTGATCATATCTGCATTTCAACCACCAAGAATCTTTTCGACAGCACTTTGATCTTGTGACTCAGTTGGCAGAGAATCAGGTGGACAGCCTGTAGGCTATAATTTCCAATTCTGCCATCAAGTAGGTTTCCATTCAAACTTTAATCATCACGCATTATCATGAACAGCAGTCTGTGGAGCCACAGCTGTCGTAGATACTCTCAACACGTAAATGATTGTTGTTAGTGGTTGACTTTATCTTGAATTCCTCAGCTGAAACGCTTTTTAGCAGATATTTTCATGAATGGATGCATTTCACCAGATCACTTTGCTTTTGCTTAGTCATGTGATAAAGAAATTTGAGTAAGCTGGTCAGTTACACTCTCCACTAATTTGGACACGCGATCCGTAGATTTTAGATAAGATATTTTCTTGTTGCACTGAATTACTGCTTGCAACTTTTCAGTAGTTTATTCATTCTTTCACTTGTTTTAGGTTGATAGTGTTTGTGAAGATATTACTTCTGAACTACATTTATTAGGTGAGTGTGTACAGGAACAGCTGCCACATTTTGGTTGGCAGTTTGAAGAAATTGAATATCTGGAAAATAAAATTCCAATAATTAATGAAAAGTCATTAATGCTGGATAAAAAATACTTTCCAAATGATGACGCAACCAATTCAAAAGAATCCTGGTATAAAGTAGCTGCAGGTGCCTCTGCATATACTTATAAATCGATCGGAGTTAAATACGCGGAACCTGTAAGAAAGTGGTTGGCGAACGCTGCAAATATAGTCGTACAATTTGGACTACTTGCACAATGTTTTACAACAAGAAATAATTGGTTTCCTGAAGGAGATTGGTTTCTGGGAACATGGACTGTGAAGAATACGGCTAGTGCAGAGGAGTTGAGAAATGTTATCGATCCGAGCATTTTTAATGCTTGTCTCAAAGTTATTTTTGCTGCAGTCCTCAATTTTCTTCAATTCAATTGTTATGCACCAAAACAAATGTCAAATTATGCTGTACATCTTCTAAACAGTGAAGTTATGGATAAATATGGAGTGTCTAAGGTAGAAGAGAAGATGTTAATCATGAATATTACTGGTCGTTGGGTTTCAAGAATAAGAATACTGCAATTGGTTCAGAAAACATTAAACACATCCTGGAAACTGAAAGATGTCAAACCTCTAGGATACATAAATTTGAAAATATCTCGTAGAATAGAAGACTACTTTGATATTATCCCTCCTAACTGGAGATATACTCGTATAGCTGTTTGTATTGCGCATAGACTTGTACGGTCCAACTGTGTTTATTTCGCTGATTTTTCTACTCAATTAATCGAAATAAGAAAACAGTTACAGGATGTTATCAAAGATCCACTTAATCATCACTGTGATCATAAATATTTACTAAAATCCAATGAAATGGAGGATGACAATCATCATGTTGATGATAATAAAAAACATGAATTGTTTGGTCGACTTATTACATTTTTGAAGTATGCAGAGCCTAACAGTAATCTTTTTCAATATAAACGTTTCAAATCTCATGGGAAAACAAATGAAAGTCAATATCCTGATTATGATGCAAAATGGGAGGCAATTGTAAAGATTGTTTTATCATATCCTACTTTAACACCACTTCAAGAGATAACTGACAAATTGAAAGAATTAAAACTGATACCTTTTGACTTTAACATCGATAAAAAGTTAATCCAGTCCCTTTTTGCTGCTTACAAGATTAATAAATCTATTCAGTGAAATATTTAAATCGGACTGTTCATCTATGTTGTATAACCTTCCTTTGTTATTCGAATTTTGATGAGAACAAGAGATTGTGTGAAATCACATATGTATATATTTCTATGTATGTATCATTAGGTTCCAAAAAGTTATCCTCATTTTTTTTAAATACGTATTTTCCTAGTTTTTAAAACTCTTCACCTTATGTATAATGATGAAAGTTGTACCTTCTAGATATGGGATCCAAGGAGATGACTTTTTCATACTGAACCAATAAGTAGGTTATTAAAGGAAATATATTTCTCAAATCCTGATGAGATAGAAAAAGCAATTTCTGACGTTTTATGACTTCATGGGATATGCTTCTTCAAAGAATAAAACCTAGACGAGTCAACGAATGTTTACATAAAAAATGGTTACAAACCAGAAGACAATGCTCATACATAGTAATTAAATACTAATAATAACAATAATATCGCCATCAATGTCAATGTTATTCTTTATAAGTCATTACAAATACCTATTCAAAAGCATTTTAGCTCAGGAATTCAAGATAAAGTCAACCACTAACAACAATCATTTACGTGTTGAGAGTATCTACGACAGCTGTGGCTCCACAGACTGCTGTTCATGATAATGCGTGATGATTAAAGTTTGAATGGAAACCTACTTGATGGCAGAATTGGAAATTATAGCCTACAGGCTGTCCACCTGATTCTCTGCCAACTGAGTCACAAGATCAAAGTGCTGTCGAAAAGATTCTTGGTGGTTGAAATGCAGATATGATCAGCAGTTAGGTCGTGTAGCTTAGTTGGTAGAATGCTGAAAAGGGAACCCACAGGTCACTGAATCGAGACGTGCTACTACCCAGGTCCACACCCCACTTTCAATCATCACGCACTATCAAATACTCAAGTATCAGTGTGTTTCCTAATGAGGATCTCCTTCCACCTAAATGTTAATTCATATTTGGAGAGGATAAGGGTGATTCGTTTTTGTAACACTTATTAGGCTTTCATAGTAAGATTATTGAATGTGATTTTCAGTGTTAAGCCATCTGTCCAATTCACACTGTTATGCGAAGAGTGCATCGTGAATTCTGTTGCTAATCATCACTGATTGTTAGTGGTGAAATCTGAAATAATGACAGTTTCAAGATGCCAGCACAGATGCCAGGCCATATATCAGTAGTTCTCGATCACCCTTTTCTAGTCAATCGATAGTGGGAAATTGCGAGTTATAATTTTAATCTGAATAAGAAGTAGCTGTTCTAACTGAGAATCGTGGAGGACAATGCTTCGATGGTTGAAGTTGTGTGTGCTGGCTACAGACCTGACTGCGGGCATCAATATAGGGTCAAAGAGATCGATCGATGGATAGATAGATAGATAGAAGGACAGGTAGACAGACAGATAGACGGGAGAATCAAGGTGGGATATAGCGTAAACGTGCAGCAGTTCAAGTTACCATACTTCACAGAGATAAGTGAGTGGGAACTGGATAGGAATAGTGAAGGTAGAAATGAAGGTTGTGGTAGATGATGGGATAAAATATGATGTTTAGTGAATGTGTTCAAGACTTGAAGGGTGAGAGAGAAATTGTGGATACGCTTGCACTAACCGATTTTGAGGCTTACCACAAATAGTTTGCAATCACTGATGTGTGTTGTCTCGAGAAGTGTAGTTATGTATGTTGTGACTCTAGAGGTGGTTTCGGGTAACAGTGGGAATCTTCTTGAACTGGTAGGGCATCATGGTGTGGTCAGGTCATGTTTTCTTCTAACCTAATCGTACTTCAGTTAACGTTGTGTATGGAGGGAGGCGGTAGCTCAGCATGCGCAACACAGGTTTAAGCTGTATCAGTTGGTGAATCTTTTCAACTATGTGACTGAGTTGCATGCATTTTCTAGTGTCCCACATTTAACACTGTCAACGGTGGAGGAGTGAATTTTGGTGTATGTCCAGGTGACCATAGGACCATATGCATTCTCTTTGTTTATAATTACTTTCATGTGTAAAAGTGTCTACATATTGTAAGTCCCCCATATCATGTATAAAGTCTTCACCGAGTACTCAGTCTACTGTTTGTCTGCTTTTGTTTTATCATTGTTTTTATGATTTTAATAACTTGGTAATTAACAATTTCGTGAAACCCTAAGTTATTTAAATTTTTTTTGTTGTCTCATATTTATTTTTAATTCTCCTTAATATACCGAAGTTGTCTGAACTAGCTGAAAAGAATGCTAATGAAATGGTATTCCGTCTTTGAAGATTATAATAAATTTAACTGTTGACTTTTTCATATGATAGAGGTCAGCTTGCACTCTGTAATTGATCTTACGCTAGAAAGGACAGATGCTTGTCTCTTTTGCTAAACGATATCAATAAATACTCACTGGTGCTGTGGAAATGCATTTCATGCCAAGAAGGCTACGAATAATTATTTTCATTGCAAGTAAGCACTTATTCAAAGACGAAAGCAACAATCACCACGACATTTGACAAATTGTCACCTGGTCGTTGGACCGGGTATGCTCGATTTATGAGCAGTTAGCATTAGCAATCATCTGTTTTATTGCCTTGAGTTTCTGCTACTACGCAAAATGAATGGAAAACAAATAAATATTCTATTCTGGTATTATGAATTTAACAAGAGAGAAACCGGTTTACAGGCATAATTAAACCGAAAGTATTCAAGAAATCTATAGCGTTTCAGTGGTCCTGAATGGTTCAGAAGGGAGGGCACTAAACTCTTTAATGACATCAAAACTGTCTGAAACAAACAAGCAAATAACTCTTTTAAATACAAACAGTGTTTATGAGTTCGGATCATTTTCACTAATTTTTATTTTACCCGTAGGTGGAATCAGGGCCGCACAATATTCCATGTTTCCGTTTAAAATGGCCCATATATTTTACTGCGTCTACATAGTTCCATATTTCGCCATATAAACGTCTATTTTACCGTCAATCCATATAGTTACAGCTTCATTGACCAAAAATAACTCAATTCAATGATTTTGGGAATAAGTAAGTGTCCACATAATCATGTAATCTAGACGAGTATCTAAGTTCATGCACTTCCCACTCTTCAAGTGTTACGTTTCCCATTTCATCGCAGACATCTTTTGCAGATGCTTGCAACATGAAGTTGATTTAAAAAGACAATAAAGCTGCCAACTTCAAAACACTTCACAGACTCCAACTGCTCGAATTAGTCATGCAATATTTCATGCATTAATTCCATCCTATTGAATTTGAAAGGAACAAGAACAACTATTGAAGCAGGATGAAGCAGGTGCATTTTATTTAGGCCCTATCTAGTCAATTGATGGAGACTAAGAATGTCAAACCACACAATTTCATTGAAAATTTAACATACTTCAGTTCACTTCAAGAAAACAGAACATCGGTAGACAGAATAAGTCATAGCGAATTCGGTAAATCATAAGGGTAAATCTATGGAACTGAATACAGTTAAACAAATCGTCATAATTGTAAGCATAGTGCAGTCTAAATTTCCTGAAGAAGAAATGGACGACAGAAATAGCAACCAAAATATTGAAGCGCTTCAAATATAAAAAAGATGTAATTCAATAACTCGATAAACAAGTTAGTGAACAAAACATCCACAATATTGGGAGTTAAACTCAGTTATATTTTGGGGATTTATTGATTTTTCAAGTTGGTATTCATTATTGACTGGCATCAGTTAGAGGAACACTGAAAACCTGGGAGCACTGGACAGATGTTTCGTCCCACTATGGGCCTCTCAGTGGTGCACACCCATGACCCCGCCAGGGATCGAACCTAGGACCTCCCAGGTCGGGTCATGGGTAAGCACTACTGAGGAACCCCATAGTGAGATGAAACACCTGTCCATTTCTCCCAGGTTTCCAACGTTCCTCCAACTGATGTCAGTCAATGATGAATACCTACTTGAAAGTAAATTCAGTTAGTTAGTTAGAAACAGTTTGTGTGAACAAATTTGATTTAAAAAATGATTTTCATTTTGACTATCTGAGATAGTCATGGCTTGGCAGACTTCTGTTGATGCTGTCTGAGGATTTAAGTTGAAATGAAAAATTAGACCACTGCCGGATTTGAGCCAGTGACCACTGGGTTTTTGGCCCTGTGCTCTACCAACTGAGCTACGAGACCCGACTGCTGACCACATTGAAGGGATGAGTAGGTATATCTAATGAAAGGTTACTCAGTCAAGTAATACTCAAAACCAGGTTTCCAAGGTAGACAGAAATTGGCTACACTTTCGTCTTTATAGATAAATCTTTTCATTCTTGTTTCAGAAATTATTTGTCGTTGCCGGAAAATAAACTTTCACTGCTACCATTTTAGTCTGTTTATTAGGAATGTTTAACGGTGAACAGTAACATTTGCTGGATAACGCGTTTCGAACACAATTTATTGTCCATATTCGTATCAGGTAACTCCATAACTTTGAGACAGAGTTAGTATTGTCCTAATTTTCTCTCCTTTTTTCCATATATATCTGGGACAGATACAGAATCATTTCAATTGCATGAATTTGGTGGTGATTCGATAAACAAAGATTCGGTTATCAACTACTCCCTACACCTAAGTTAATTTTTAACGCTGTCACTGTATCCCACCCTACTACGTGATCGTGTGTAATAGCATGCAGAGCTATGGCTGAGCTTCTTTCTAAATTTCTTATGTTATTAGGATCCACTAATCTTGATTTAGCTATGGTTTTGTACTCTGTTGTTGTAATCAACCCTGGTCTACTGCTTTAACCTATCTACTTGACCTCGCAATCATTGCAAGGGATTTGGTAAACCAGATTATTTTGCTTAGTTGTATCAATAGGATCTTTTAACCTACAAAGCTTGTTTCTAGGCGAGTTTTTTTAATGCCACCCCAGTCATAGACAGCTTTATTGAGAATTCTTCGTATTGCTTCTGAGGTGACTTCCTTGTATGGTAACACAGCAGGGGCTTTAAATTCTCTCTCAGTCCCATCACTATTAATACTACTGGTGGTAGAATTATAATTAATAATAACACCCGTGTTACTACTCTAATGCTGCTCATATTTTTTCCATTTCTTATTAATTTATCGATAAGTTTGGGTGGGTAATTATAAAGACGCAAGGTGTTCTTGATGCGTCTAGTGTCTTGTAGTAGATTTTCTGGTCTATTAGTAAGCTTTTCCGTCCTATCACTTAAGCATTTAACTAAACATACTTTAACTGAGATAGGGTGAGATGATTTGAAGTCTAAGTAGCAATTCGAGTGGGAAGGTTTCCTATAGACACTAGTCTCTAGATTTCCTTCTCGTGTTCGTTTAAACTTGTAATCCAACATGGCTGGCTCACCATCACTTTCCAAGTCACAAGTAAATTGGGTTGCA